AGTTCCGACGCTAAATTTATTTTTGCTATTTTATGTACACATTTTGTATTTCGCATTGATAATGATTTTTATTCGATTTTTGTAATTTTCAGAAATATGCCTCTTTTAAACAAAAATCGGAAATGGTAGTTTTGAAGAAAATTCTTGTCTCTTTATGCGTATATCAAATATATTCTGTTTCAAGCAGGCAATTTTTCAGAACAAAGGGAATTCCCTATTTGAAAAACAGAAAAGGAGACCTATTTAGCTATGTGACTAATGAGATTTAATGGCAAACTGGAAGTCGATATGCAGTTTTCAAATATTGCTCTACTTTGTGTTGTATAGTATATACCGTTGTATCTGAAACAAATTAACTTCGTTTTCTGTTACTAATTTTTTTTTCTTTTAAACTGCTACAACTTTAGGGAAAATAACAAAAGAACTGCAACACCCTCAAATTTATTTTACATATATATATATATATATATATATATATATATATATATATATATATATATATATATATATATATATATATATAAGTGGGTCAACGTACCAAATTTCTGCAAGTGTAAAAATGGCTTGGCTTATCCCCTAGTTTCTTAAACACGAAATAGTGAAGTCATCTTAAATTACTTGAAATATATTATTAAATCAATCATTGCTCTCATATGAATTGAAGTGCCCATCAATTATTGCTCTCATCAATTGAATTAATGCGAATTATTGATGCTGGCAAACATTAGAAAAATGAAGGCGTGCATCATTTGAATTGATGAGATCAGTAATTGATTTGATGTTAGCAGCAATTAAATTCATTCATTCTTCTCATCAGTGGAATTTAACTCGAGCCCCAACAATGTGATGGCATTATTAATATTGCTGAAATATTTAAAATTTCTAACCAGTTATCACATGTTTTTTTTTATCATTTCAATTTACATGCTTTATTGGAATATATCTTTAACACAAGTAACATAAAAAGTATGTTAATTTGGCTGGTATGGCAGAGCTTCCATATTTCCTTATATGCTCAAGCATGCACATCGTTTAGTCTCCCCCAAAATAAATTGATTAAAAAAAATAATACTCCTTCAGGGCATTGGATACTCAAAATCAAAGGTTGTACATATTTTATCATTGACAAAATTATAATTATCACGAAGTTTGCATAGAAAGCCATCTTCGTATATGAATTTTTCTCTTAATTTTTACTTTCATATTTATACTGAAATTCATTGTAGAAACATGATACAAAAATGTTATCCCCAAAACGCCCTTTTAAATTTTCTGTTTATGTACACGTTATAATCTATTTCATTAACTTATGATTGATTTATCTTCTTTAAAAAATTTTCAAATACTCTATTAATGTAGTACCGAGAAATTTGAGTCGCCCTGTATGCCTTACTAGAATAAGAACAAAAATATATCTATTCTCCAATTTCTTCTATGAATAAACTGGCTTTGCATCGTCAAAATTCCGGAGCTTTCAGGGACTTTACTCCTCTGCGCCATCATCTGGGCTTTGCCCTGAATTTATTAAGGGTATTGAGGCGGCTTGAGACACCCTGTCCGTTTAGAGCATGCATTTTAGCATTTTCTAGCTAAACCACAGATAGCGCTTCTTGTCAGATAGCGTATTTTCAAATCATTGAAAGTCTCCCCCACCGGTCAATCTGAGCAGTAGGGCGTTAAAACACAATTTCACCAAGCGGTCAGGGAGTCTTCGCATCTTCTTAACTATACATTAGGGTATATAACTATATGTAATCTTTTAAGAATTTTCTCTTGAGAATAGTTAAAAATGGAACGGCGAAGTATTTTTATCATTATTCATTTTATATCATGTTTTTGCATTGTATATATAGATATTGTACCTCTGAACAGTTTATATGAAATATATATATATATATATGTTATAAATGTATCCCATGTACTATTATTTTGGGTTGGGTGAATAAACTGAACTTGCACTTGAACTTGGGCGATTATCATTGGGTATTAATGATAATGAATTATCATTAATACAATTAATTCCACTAACTTTTTTGGTTACCCAGATCACGGAATATTTACTGTTTTGAAACTATGATGAATTGAAGTTCGAGTTTGTTTTTTTAACTAACTGACCACACGATTCTTGACACAGGGATTTTTCGGGAAAAATTAAAGAACATTCGATGCTGAAGGAATGTTTATTTCAAACATGCCACTACTCTAAATTTTGAAAGAACTTATAAATCGCAAGTTATCTAGCTTAAATGTCGAGCAACTAATATTGACTGCTGATAATAGCAGTCTTGCTTCGGATGCTGCGTTTTCCTTCATTATCAGCAAAAGTGACCATTTAGGTGCTTAACTTTTTTCGTAACTTTAACAAGCATTTTCAGAGTATTGCATATGCAATGCAAGCAAATGTTATCTGGTTCTCCTAAAAAATGATATGCCCGTAATTCCGTCAAAGCTCTTGAAAGCGGAAATTAAAACTTGATCTGTAACTTAGTAAAGGTAGACTCACATACCAAACATCAGTTCAATATTTGCAAAGTGTAGAAAAAGGGCGGAAAACCAAGTGTCATGCGACAGACTTACAGAGGGACAGACAGACAGACAGTTGAGGAAAGAACCGTTTTTACCAGTAGGGGACTAGTCTTTAGCTTTACGAATCTTGCACAGATGTTACATGGAAAGAAAAGATACAACAAGACATGCTTTGGATACTGCTTGAAATACATTTTCTGAATGAGTGAGAGCATCAAATCAGTTATTCCTCTCCAGTGGCGTAGCGCCCTTTACGCAACAACGCAAATGAATACACAAATTTTCAACAACAAATGATTTCAAAAGCTCAATTACCGATAAAAATAAAAAATACATGAAATTTGAAAAGAAAAAGACTTACGCTTTTACAGATTTATTTTATTCATACATATTAACCATGAAATTTTCAGCTTTTTAATGGATTTTTGATACAGTTTCCTTCTCGTTTTATCTAATTTATTTATTTTTATTATAATCTTTTTTTTTTTTTTTTTTTTTTTTTTTTTTGAATATCAAGGACAATTTTTTTTTTAAATAAAAACTTAAATTTAAAGCAATGATATAAACTTTTCATTCCCCTGGTATTTTGAAGTACAAATTTACTGCGTTGCACGAGTACGTCATTTTAAAAACAATCAATAATTGAAAATGTAATGGCATTTTAAATGGATGTTCGATGTTTGTAGTTGGATATCGCATTCCTGAAATTATAAATATTAAAAAAAAAACTCTCTTGTGAAATATATTCGATCTTTCTGTTTATAATTTTTTATTTATTTTTTTCTATTCTCTACTATAACTGTCTCTCTATTAATATTCAAAACAATATTGCGATGAAGGTAAGGTGCATTTGAAATGAAAAAAAAAATGAAATAAAGGGCTCAGTAAATTTGAACAAATAGCCAACTTTAATTAAAATTGAACTTTAATGGTATTTTGAACGCTAAATATGACAGATTTGATATTTTTTTGTACATTGATTTTTAAAAAGGCGAACTTGTGCTGCCACGTAGCACTTTGCATTTCTGATTGTAAAAATAATACCTGTGAAAATATCAGTTTTATTCAACGGATGATACAAGTATGATCTGCAGTATTTCACTGATGAAAATGAAATGCCTTCATCCTAACGGAAATGCTTTTGAAGAAACAGATTTTGTGGATTCTGTCAAAACTAGGCTTTTTTCTTCATACATAGTAAAATTACGATAATAAAAATTAGAAAACCATTATATTACAGGAGCTTCCGGGGGCTTCGCCCCCTGGGCCACCAACCAGGGCTCTGCTTGTCCTGGACACGCTGAGGGCCTCAAGTCGGACCCAGACCCCTTGCCTTTTTTTTTTTAATACAGTAATTTTTTCCCTAGCTACGTCACTGCTCTCATCAGCTGAATTTATACGCGCAACTATTCAATAAAGGGGAGCAATAATTGATTTGATGCGCTTATCAATTGAATCGAAGATAGGCCTATCAATACAGTGGCGGAAAATTTACTCGCAAGAATCAATTTAGAGATTGTCTTAAAAAAAGATTTTTTTTTCAATTCTTTCATTAAACGAAAGTATCGTTCATTCCATTATTAATAATAAAAAATTAATTGATGATGTCCTTGATTATTAAAAGGTATCTTCAATTATCGACTCTGAGATTAATGTTAATTAGAGTTTATGTTAGACCGGCGCTGTACATGCTGTATACATGCATATGTCAACATGGGAACAGCTCTGATTACATACATTTTTGCCCTATATCCAATCTTTTCCTTTGATCTTGTGTACTGTCTTGTACATACATACACCATTTATACCAGTAAATAAAATAAAATAAACGGTGCAATTAAATAATTAAACATGATCACTAGCTGTAGCGATTTTCCTGTGTGTTTATAACCTTGTAGTGAATTGATGGTTGAATTAGCTGTACTGATTTGCACGTGTGTGTTCAATAAGTGTAAAAATGTAGTGAGATTCATGTCGAATTTCAATATACTTAAAGTAAAAGATATCAAAAATTCCTGTAGATACAGAGAAATCCCAAGGTTAACCTCGGTATATTCTGGTCTTACTTTCTCTTTTTCAAGCCTCTAAATCAGTGAAGCGAGATGAAGGTAAAATTTCAAATGTAGTCAGTTGGCTGGATTTACAAACAAGGGTGTGTGTGTGTGTGTGAGGGTGTGTGAGGCTGTGTGTGTATGTGTTTGTGTACTGCAAAATATACTTGCACTAGTTTGAATTAACAGATTAAACATAGGTTTGAATATTTGGTTAATTTACAAACTATTTTGAAAGAACATATGAGGCATGTTACTTTTTTAGATTTTAAATTTTGAAAAAAATCTTAACAGAAAACATAAGAAACAAAGAAAGAATGTGCATCAAAAGTGGCATACGTTTTTTAAGAGTGAATATAATTTGATCATGAGTTCAACTTAAAGTCAAAAAGACATGTATCATTTAATTTCAATTCAAAACAGACTTCCTTGGAGGTTACGAATACAATGGGCGACACTTTATGGTGGATGTTCTTTAATACCTCGGGTACTGACAGACCTTTGTCTTCTTGGATGACAGCCTCTAATGTTCTCAACAGTTCAGTCAATTCAGTTCCTTCCATTTATGAATCCAAATTTCACTTCAAGTATGAAATTCTCCTTGCATTAAATTTTCAAATTTCCGCTCCTGGTTCAGGAAACTTCCATAAATCTACACTGTGATAGCATGATTATTCATATTGTTTGCAAATGCATGTACTGATAAAAAGAGAAGCTACTTTTAAACAGAAAAAAACTTTCATATTTGAAGATCAATGTTTATAAATGTTTTACGTATATTCCGGAATACGATGTATATATAATACCAAATTTATGAGTGTAGATTTTTAATTGTTTTATTTTAGATGGTCATAAATTTGTTTGCGCTATCCTAACTGGGTAGTGTACACAGTTTTTTTTTTTTTTAAATTTAAATCTGACACAAAATTAATGATTTACTCCTCTCTATCCACTTGTCTTTAGTGAAAGTGATTTGGTGTGTCATGACAAATAACAATGTATCCCAATAAACAAAAAGGATATCAATAAAGACATAGAAATCGGAAATTTTCCTGCTTTTAAGAATAACAACTTTTTTTTTTCAAATTATTGTTCTAGGTTTTCTTTATTACAGCCATGAACCATGTGACCTACTTTTATCTCAAAGTTCAAATCCAGATATGGTTTGGCTCTGTATTTATAGAAATTCTTCCTCTTCCATTTTCCTTTTTACATCTCCACAGATACCTCAACTACAAAGTTATCTTGGTATGATTTTTATCACTAAATGATTGAATATATGCATTTATTCAAACATGTAATTCATTTCTTTTTCTAATTCTACAGATTACTCTAAGATTACTAGTACATTAAAAATATTGAAGATCTCTAAAACAATCTGTTTGAATGGACACAAAATTGTGTTCTTAAATAGCCGACCTGTTTATATATTCTTTTGAAGCAGAATTTATTAAAAAACCTACTTCGTGAGATGAAGAAAGACCTTCTTTTGCCTAAAATTAAACATTTAGATCAATCGAAAATGTTTTATCAATTAACAAAACCGTCACTGAAGCTCCGTCGGTAGAGCGCTCGCACCGTGATCAGGTCGTTGGAACCACGACCGCGACTGACCTAGGTCGATAAAAAATAGGTAGCAACTGTTCCTTCGCCAAGCGCTCGGCACTACTTTGAGGTGAAAGTTGCGGGTCTTTCGGATGAGACCTTAAAAACCGAGGCCCGGTGTCACGACAGGCGTTGGCACGATAAAGATCCCTCACTGCTCAATTTGAAGCCCTTCACCGGTATATGGTAACGTCTCTATATGAGTGAAAAATTCTCGAACGAGACGTAAAATAACATTTAATCAATCAATTAACAATTTTTATAGTCATTCATATCCCTACTCAGTAAATCACAGTAAACTCCGTTTAAATGGATGTTTACTGTCAGGACAGACGTTGGCACAATGAAGAATCCACACTGTGCAATGGCCCTGAGTGCCGAGTAAAGGTCTAAATTTGAAGCCCTCACCGGTATATGGTGATGTTTCTATATGAGTGAAAATTTCTCGAATGGACAAAAAAACAACATACAACTAATCAAAATCTCTTTACATCAATTGCAGACTTGGATGTCCTTGCAATTATTGATTGATTATTTTATACCTATTGCAAGATTATTTCATTAATTTGAGACTTAAACTTATGCCAACGTCTGCTGTGACAGGGTCCTCGGCTTTAAGGTCTCATCCTATAGACCCGCAACTTCCACTTCAAAGTGCCGAGCACTTGGCGAAGGAACGAATGCTACTTTTTTCAATCGATTTAGACTTGTCGTGGACGGGTACTAACCCCCAACCGTCCGATCACGAAGCGATACATGCAATTGAATACTTTCTTCAATTAAAAATCCATAAATCTAAGTTTAGCTGCATAAAATTTCATTTTTTTCATTCAAAGTTTGTCAATAATGTCCTATAAGGTGACAAAAATGAATAGATTTATAAGGGTGATGGCAAAATGGAAGAAATTTGAACATCATAGAAAGTTTACAATTTTCCTAATATTTAGAGATTTGATATATGCATAATTTACAACCAAAATATAGACCAATCCATGCATCTTTTTTGTGTATGTGTTTTATGTGTCCTTAGGAGACATACAATTTATTGATCCATATTATATAATTGAGTCTGATTTCTTCTTTTTTTTATTTTGAAATCAGGAACAGTGCAGATTATTGGAGGTATATTCTATGATAATCATAGTACGACTGGAAATTCCGAGGTAAAATACATTTTTCAAATGAAACATAAAGACAAAGCGAATCGATATAAATATATATCGATTTCAAAATACCTAAGATATTTTATTATCATAATGTACTCTCTGATGTCATCCTTAATTAGATATGGGTGAATTTAAGGAAAATGAATGGCACATATTTAAAAATCTGCTCTAAAAATACAGGCGATGTGACTAAATTTCTATAGTTTAGCATGTGTCTAAGTACCTGCCAAATATCTCATTGATATCTTAAGTCACAAAAAAGTTATGTCCAAAAATTATGCTAAATATGTCAGATGTGCAACACTTCTTGTGACATTTTGAAGATTAAATACTTTTCAAAGCTCTGTGAAAGAAATAAAAATGGTTATGCTGAAAATAAAGACTTTCTGATAAAATTCAATGTATTGAGCTTTAAATTTAGACTGTAGTAATTTTTATTTACCCAAGTTATGATCATGGCTGATGCTGAAAAAAATGTTATACCATGTCAGTAGTTCAACAGAAAAAATGCAATGGTGTAAAAGATCATTGATCATAAAAATTTGTATGACAATTTAGTCAAAAAAGAATTTTCAAAGTGTAAAATAATAACTAATATATCATTGAAAAGTTAAAAAGGATATCTGAACCACAAGTAGAATCAACAAGAGTCAAGTAAATATGCATACCCGTTTATGTCAGGGGTGTAACGTTTGGTTTTTTGCTCCCTAGCATGGAAAAACTTTTATTAGTACATATATTATTCTTTGCTTTCTATTTTGGAAAATAAAGACACAATAACATTTTTACAAAATAAATCTATCAATTACAGGATCCGTCTGTGTTTCAGGTCTATATTTCTACGGTCAGGAGGGCAACACACTTTTTTTAAAGATCCAAGTTCAATGATGAAAAGACTTCTATTCATTCTAATACGTATTCTTTGATCAATAAGGATCTATGTGAATAATTTAGTACTAAATGATTAACATGTTTATTATTGAAATCTGTCTCTTTTTTCAAATTTATCAGTCCAGATATTTCTTATCTTTTCTTTTCAATTTTTCTCTGAAATTAAAACAAAAATCACACTGAAAAATCGTTATAATGTTCAAATACTTTGACCACAATTTCACAAAACACGTTCTGGTGTTATTTATTTCTAATCAATTCTGCTTTAACGAGTCACATGCACTTCGTCAGGAGTGCAACAAAAATGTTCAGATATATCGATGATCAAATATGAATTAATAAAATAAAAGAAAAAAATTGATGAATAAAGTGTTTCTGGTTGACCTCAGTTGCTAAAAGTGTTTATCACATGAAGTAAAATGTCCTATAAAATATACTTTTTTTCTTAACATATTTTTAGCTAGTTTTTGTCATAAAAAGGGAATAATTCCAGATATATAGTTAAGTTTAAACAATTTTATATGTTTTATCCATGAAGTTTGAAAAGTGGAGGTGTGTAGTGATGGGGACATCCGTCCGTCTGTACGTCGATCCGTCTGTTACGTTTTGGGGTACCTATCTCTTATTCGCAACTCCTCTTACACCACTGAATAAAATTTAATGAATCTTTCACAGAATCTTAATTGCATAGGGCCATTGTGCACCTTATATTTTACTTTTTGATTGGACACATATTTCAGGTTTCACATAGCAAAACATAGACACTGCCATTCTTTCCTATAATATCGATGGGTACCCATTTCTTATCTGCAACTCCTTCTATACCAGTGAATAAAATTTAATGATACTTTCACAGAATCTTTATAACATAGAGCCATTGTGCACCTTCTACTTTTTGTTTTTATCGGACAGATATTTGGACTTTCCCGTAGCAAAAAATGGACTTTGCAATTATACTCATATGGGAGCGGGAATATTATTTTGTGAGCTCAGTGCTCAAGTACCTCTAGTTTTAAATATACGTATATTATGGAAGCAATTAATCTTATTCTGAAGCCAAAAAATATGAAAAACTTGCCTAAAATGAAAAAAATTTCAAAACGAAGAACTGCTTTACAAACTTTGAATGAGTTATTGCGTGTTATAATCTTTAAAACAATGTTTAATTTAAAAAAATATCAGATTCAGGAGTGCAACAAAATAAGTAAAATAGGATCACTTCAAAATTTAGATTTTTTGAAGAAAACTTATATATCAAAATTCTTTTTGGGAGGGGGTAGAAATAAAGATTGAGTACATGGACAAAAAAGTAATTTTGGGGAATTTTTTTGTATCATATTTCTTTCATATTAAAACTTTTCGAAGTAAAATTGGGACAATGAATGTAAAACAACAGTTAAAAAGCCAATTTTCTACATACAAGAGGAGAAACTCGATCAAGGTTTAGGTTAAATTATTTATATCCCTGAAACAAGTCTGAAGGATAAAAAACTAGAATTTCTTTTGATTTTTATTTTAGAAAGTCTTTTAAGATGTAGTAATATTTTCTTCTTTTTTTTTTGTATACAAAAATATTTTTATGAAAATAACTAAATATTTTCGTGAATATCGCAATCTTTAAGGGTCGCAGATAGTGCGCACGGGACAGAATTTAATTTCATAAGTTTTGAAACAAAGTGTTCTCATTAAATGATTATTATTTTAGAAAACAAGTAAAGCTTAATAAAAATTTTATATGTCGCAAATAAAGCGGCTATTGTATAAAACGTTTACGCCTAAAATGTTCTTAAAGCTGTGTGTATTGTTTAAAGATTTATATATTTACTAGATCATGGTTTATTTTAAAATATTGTCATACATGTTTGCCAGTGCGGATTACGAAAATTATAGCATTTATCCACGAAACTTTACTGACAACTCTAGCATATACAGTATGGTGTTAAAATGAAAAAAAATATGGTAAGTTGAATTTTGTCAAAAAACTTCAATTTGCCGGTCATAATTTTTAATTCACCCATATCACTCATACAGTGTATATATATCTAACAGTGTAAAACATGTAATAACTATGTGTAAAACGTAATAAAATCACAATCTCCCGTGGTTTGTGGTTGAATATAATTTTTATCCAGCTCGTTGGGTGTTTCTTTTCCCTCGCCAAGGCCCAGGGATAGAAAACACACAACTCATTAGATAAAAAGTATATTCAAACACAAACCATGCGAGTTCCTATATTAACCTTTTCATACCTTGATTAATAATTTAACATATTTTTAAATCGTTAAATTTCAAACAAATTTCACTCATACATATACACTATATCTTTAAATTGTGATTACAATGAAGGTACATTTCTTTCTCCATCAAATGTTATATTTTAAACCAGTCATATTTATGTAACTTTTCTGTTTGTAATTTACGTAGTCCATGTAATATCTCATCATATTTATGTAACTTTTTTTTTGTAATTCACGTAGTCTATGTATTATCTCATCATATTTATATAACTTTTCTGTTTGTAATTTACGTAGTCCATGTAATATCTCAATGAATGTTTTCGTGACTCTCGTTTTCTACCTTAGGTGGTTGTTTATGATGATAACAAAGCTATCTACATAGATCAAATAATGGCTTGCGCAAAAGAAAACTTCCTCACAAACATCCGATCTTACAACTTAACCATAAAACACAGCATGTCTAGATGTTCTCCAATCGCTTCTCTCGAGTACATTGTGGAAAATGGTGCACCACAAGTGAGTACCTTGTCTTTTTTATGTTATTAATTTTTATGATATTCCTCATACTTTATATTAAATTTATATCACATGGGATATAAAAAAGACATTCAATTATTTGTTTAACCATCTTTAATCAACATCACCAAACTGATCTCTTTATTTCAGCGTTTTGAGACCCCAGCAAGTGGACTCTGCCTCAGTGCACCGTATCGAACGATTCAATCAATTTTCATCCGTTGCCTTGTTGTCACATTACTGACAAATGACATTGGTTTCTATTTTCAATTCAAGACAAAAGACATAAAAAGTATGCTATAATTTTAAACGTAAAATTTATTTTATTTATCCAAAATTTTCAAGTTTTGCTTTTTAATAAAATGTGTACTTTGTTAGAAAATATCTAATTAACTATAAAATATTTTCCTTCATACCATCATAAAAAATATCATTGTTTTCCCTAACTCGGTCCTAAATTCTCAAGTTGGGTAGGTAGGTAGGTTAATGATTTTTTTTGGACTGATCCTTTGAAAATAAATTCAGAAATTTCATGGATTAATACCTTTAAAAAGAAGAAAACTAAGAAAGAAAACGATTTTTAAATAGAATATCATACAGAGGTTTAAAAACAAAATCAGATACCCAACGAATGGACATCCGATTGTATTTTTCAAACTATACTACGTATTGCTATCAGCTTCCAGTGCTTACAGAGGCAATTTACCTCTCGATTTTCAGGGAATCGTGTGGAGCATTGGTTGTACGGAGTCATGAAGTAAAAAGTTAAGCCTTATGTCGTAGTTCATGCGGGACTCGGAGGCCGTTAATAATCCTCAAAAGGACTTAAAGCAAAGAAACAACCAATCTTTAAGGACATTATTAATGGAAAGTACACTAAAAATCTCAGAAAGGACCAAAACCAATTATATTAAAGATTTCAAAACTTTTTGGAAAGAGTACTTTACAATATTAAATTGAACCAAGTCGTATCTAAAAAGATAAATATACCTTACCTACCGTTATCATTACGAAGTTTTCTCCATGTGTACAAGACTGAAGAAAGAACGTCTGACATATATGGAATTACATTTATTAGGATGAAAAACGCAAGGGCATTCACTCCTATGGTCCCATATAGTTAACAATGGAACATAGATAAACTGATGATGAGATCAAAACGAATGAAATGCAGTGAAATTCATTGATGTGAACACAAGGTGGGTCCTTATGATGCGGACCTTACCAAACTACTACGTAGACACTTGTGCAAATATTATCGTAACACAATAAATGAGCCATGGTATATTTTCTTTATGAAATGTTTCAAGACTGTAGGATTCTAATAAGTTAAAGACATATGATAAGGTTTATAAGTCACCGTTGTTTTATATCACGAAATAACCCCCTTGTGAGCACATGTTGTGAGAACCATTGAAAATCGCAGTAGAACAAAATCAGCCGTTTTTACAAAAAACGAATTTGAAAGAAATTGAATTTTATAAAATTAATTAATATGAAGAAAAAATTTAAATAAACTTTAAAAAAAAATTTTAGTCGGCACGATTTAATTGGGTCGGTCGCTTAAGAGAAACTAGGTACTTTTTATTCTGGCCTGACATTTTTGACTCATATAAATTTCTCACTCACTTATATTTCTAGGCACGTTTGTGGCTGGGGATGCTGCAGTAATCACTGGATATTGGATAGCAGGTATTCCTCTCTTTCTCTCTCTCTCTCTCTCTCTCTCTCTCTCTCTCTCTCTCTCTCAGATTTTTGTTTTACTTTTTATTCTATTGAAATGTTTTATTCATTTTATTTTTGTTAATATTTATTATATTTTTCAGACCAATCTACACAATATTTAACGACAACTGAAACAGATATTGCTACGTCTGTGAGAAGTGTCTCTTCAAATAGCATCGTATCTACTTCAGGAAATCTCACGAAGCTGGATTTTAATACGACTTTAAATGATTTAATGACTACTATGGCATCTTCAAATCTTACCGAAAAAACATTGGGACCTGGGACTACAGGATATATAACAGCAGATAGCATGACCTCGTCAGACAAAATATCAACTTCTTCAGAAGAAACTGCTGTCGAAACCACGGCAATAATGACCGCAAGTTCACAATTGATGCTTTCTTCGTTTACAACAGCAACATCTACATCAGAGTCAATAACAGCTGCATCGTCAACAGCATACCAAAGCAATACCACAGAATACTCAAATAGCACTACAACAAATTACAATGAAGTGGACATATATAGCACACAGGTCAGTCATGTATTATTTTAAGGTGATATTCTGAATTTACAGATCTCCAATGCACTCAAATCAGTACAGTGATAAGCCTATCTTGTTCCCACGCCTATCGTAATATGGTCCATTCAGAAAGTCTTATGACGTTTCTTTGTCAATGGCAGATGTTTAGCAATACGTAATTTAAAGTATAAATAGTTTTTGATTCATTTTCGTTGAAAATGAATGAAACAATTCTGAGAAAATCTTCTTGCAACTGGTTGAACTACTGTATTCTCAAACTCGACCGATTAGTCAATTTTTTTCAAAACTAAAAACAGATGCACAAACTTGCATAGATTTTTATCATTTGACTTTAAATGTCATGTTATTTTTTTTTAAGATTATTTTCTGTATAGGAAAAAAATCCTTATGATTTTTTTATCCACCAAAATTTATTGGCTTACCTTCAATGCACTTATTTTAATCAACAGACAACAATAGAGGAGGAAACAATACTCGTGGGATCATGTGTCTGTAAATGTACAGGATCTGGTTACAAGTGGACAAAGGAAGAGCTAGCTGAAAGAATACTCCAAAGAAAAACAGAATCTCAACTGATTCGAAAGAACCTCACAGCATATTACAGAAGCTTGACCTCGGCAATTGACCAGCGAATTTCGTCCCAATGTATTGGTTATATAGGATCAGTCATACTGATTTCATTTCTTTGTGTGCTTATTTTTTGTGATTTTCAAAGGTTCTGGTATTTATTGGTAAAAAGCGAGACATGTTAAAATCCGAGCTGATTCAGTTTAAATTATTATCATTCGAATTTCTCTTGCATTCATCCTTACAAACATGCAATAATGAGGAGTTAACATTAAATATTGTTTGTAAATTTGAAAGCGGTTAACGTTGTTAGTTTGCAACAAAGTATAATCTAATAGGTAATAGTGCTGATATGTAACATAATCAATGAACTTTAAAATGTTCTTTAGAATTTTAATTCTGTTATAAACTTGTATTGAAAACATCTACGGTATAAAAGCAGAGGGACACGTTTCCCTTCAATACCCATATTCTTGATGATGTTGATGAAACAAGAATATCACCAGTCTGGTTTAAGTCGACATTTCGTAAGTTCTATGATTGATACAATGACTTGTCAGCAAATACAATTTATCATTAAGTCAAATGCCGACTGACTTTTTTCATACTAATTGTTAGGCCATTATTTACACACTGAATTGTCGACGGATTTTCCGTTATTTCCGGATCATGACAAGGAGCACACGGCGGATGTGACCGGTCGGCAGGGGATGCTCACTCCATGGCACCTGATCCCACCTCTGATGTTTTAGAGGTCCGTGTTTGCTCTGCTCCAAAATTTGTATTGTTTAATGGACTTTTAAGCTTGAATACTGTTCGTATCTCCAAACATTTCATTCTTATAATGACTTTATAATAACGACTTTAACATGTCATGTTTTTATTGTCACAACTCAAAATTCAGTGAAGAGCTTAGAGGCGAAAGCACTACAGGTATGGATTAAAAGTGCCATCCACTATATTAATTACAACAATATGATTACCCTAGTACTTTTTTATATGTGATTTAGTATTGTTTTATATATTCAGCCGCATGTCACAGGCGATCTATGTACAGTAATTTTTGTTTATTTACAATTCAGCGTAACACACTTTTTTTCTTTAATGCAATATGATTTTACTGTTCCTAATAAAAATTACTATAGTAAACAATAGCTTACCATAGTTAACTATGATTAACTAGAGTATCAACGTTTAATTACAGTAAATCAAAGTTTTATATAAGTAATACCTCATTACTGCTTTAAAGAATTTTTACTAAAAAATTTCATTTTTTTTTCCATGTTTTTCGATTCTTTCATGCAAATTCTTGATAATTACACTGCAAAATGTACATTTGCAAAATGTACATCTTCGGTATGGAATTAAGGATATATTAAGTTTCTAAATCTAAAAAGTGCTAATTAAGTCTCATAGTAGATCAAAGTATGTACTATAGTAAACTATAGTTAATCAATGGAGATATTTTGTCTTAGACGTGGTACTGATCCAATTTAAAGAAAATAGTTAACAAATGTCTTTACCATACTAAAAAACTTTTATGTAAGTATTTAAACAGATGTTTTATGTAGAGAAAACTTTAACAAATACATAGAATTTGAAGAATCAATTAACTTTGCTTTACAAACCAAAACTTTGTCATTCAAAGATACATAGCAGGATCCAGTAAATGCTCTACCAAACCTCTGCCTTCCTCTTAACAAAACTATTTACTACTCTGAAGGAGTAACTTCAGACGTACTGAGCAAAAACATAGAAGAAGCATTGTTTATCAAAAGTGCAATCTTGAAAGCCTAAACGAGAAAATTTGAATACACATTTTTTTTCAAAATCAGTTATACATCGAGACGTAAGATTCCTTCATACTTTATACTGCTATTCCTTACGTAAACTAAAGACTAGACTACATGTATTTGGCATCATAGACAACAGCTTCTTCGATGAAAATGGAATTCAGGATTTTTTCATATCTTGTAGATGGACACTTACAACACTTTTAATAAAAAAAAAATACATTCTGATTTTATACACACGTACTCTGAATTGTTATTGTATTCAATTTATTGTTACAATATCTGTGTAGTCTGAAGAATACGTCTTCCAGCAATCTGTTGGAATTCAGATTGAACTATTTGTTCCACTTTATTAGTCCATCTGGGTTTTTTGTTCAAAACTTCAATATATGATACACTTAGGTATATCGATGACCTTTTATCCATTAAAAAAGTAGAAATTTTCATTATACTCGATATAATGCAGAGAAATAAAATACACCACAAGGTCTAACACATCTGTTTCCTATTTGTATATTTTATTGATATTAGGAGTTAATGACAAACAAGCAATTAAATATAGCAAAGGAGATGATTTCAGCTTTTCCATCTTCTTGATTTATGCAGTGACATTACAATTATCACATTCATGTGTTGTTTATGTCTCCATAATGATTCTGTACGCAATAGCATACTTTGAGCACGATAAATTTTAAATCGAGACAAGGTACTGAAAAGTAAGTTGATGTTACAGGGCTTTCCACAATCTCCTTTGGAGTCAGCACTCTACAAATTTGTCATTGTCTTTTGATTTGTTATCTTGACTGTACGTCAAGATGGTAATGTCAATGAATTGAATAATCTTATTTGAAATTGTGTTTTAGTATCTAAGGTCAATTTTATTTATTTCTTTCTAATTTCAGCTTAATAGGGGTGTTTTATTGATCACATGACAATCTATAAGTTTGAGCACAGAAATCATATGTCTTATTTACAATAATATTGGTCAGATATATATATAACATATGTGTGCTGTATATTCTCCAAACTCCTCTCCCCATGTTTCAACACATTCAAATGAGTCAGTCATCTTTTTATCGTGATTTAAGTTGATAAATTGACAGGGAAAATCGAAAAGATATGCTTTTCAAAACAATAATTCAGTGAATGCTTTGTCGAGCAAAATATTTATCGTTTTACAATTTTCGTAAACAAACTGAGAAGTCAACTCTTTAATGGTATACCTTCCCCTATGTCTGTTTATTACTGCGGGAAATTTATTAACGATTGTACTAATAAGTTAATGTTCAAGGTACTTACTTTGGAATCGATCTCTTTAAAAATTATTAATCTGATAACTTGTATGGAATATATTCCATATGTATCGCTCCAAAGCATCATTATTATCCACTTGCAACAGCTATGCAAGCTTGTTCAATTTAGGATTCATAATAACTTCGGAATGTAAACATGTAAATGTTCCATTTAGTGCAGCATTAACATGAAAAAGGTATAAGATAACGAACAATGATCGATCTCAAAAAATCTATAAAGAATTCTGTGAAGAACGTATAAAACACAGACCCCTGGAAATTCCAGAGGTGGGATCAGGTATGTAGGAGGAGTAAGCATCCCCTGTCGACCGGTCACACCCACCGTGAGCCCTATGTAGTGATCAGGTAGACGGAACATTTCGTAGTCAATTCAATATAAAAACAAAGGTTTAACATTTGGTATGAAACAAATCACATAAAATCACCTTTGCTGGCTAGGTTTTTGTTGTCCTGTATGAAATATATTCCATATGTATCATTCCGAAGCATCTTTATTGTCCGTTTACAACAGCTATGCAAGTTTGATTAGGATTCAGCATAACTTCGGTATGTAAAAATGCAAATGTTCCATTGCAGCATCGAAATCATATAAAATCACACATGCTAGGTTTGTTGTCATTGTAAGACACATCCATTTGGAAATCGGCCTGCTCTGTCTTAACTATTATTCATCCAATAAATAGAGGTCATACGCAGCAGCTGATGCATGCTCAACAGAGTATGAAGATCCATGCGCAACTTGGTTCACAAATGGAAATTTAAGTGCACGTAAGAATAAAATACTCTCAAAATATAAATCAATTTACTCAAGCAAAAAAAAAGTCACATATAACATCCCAAGCCTGAATGATGGTAAGTATTCCAAGATGTAACATTTTGGCAAGACTGGTAAATTAAGAACTTACTGTACTTGGTGTTATGACTGTGTCAGGATCTTTTTTTCTCAATCGTATATGTTAATAATTACTACCTGTTTTGATGGGGTTTTTTCCCAAAAACTAATTTCCAAATATGAGCCATAGAAGTGATAAAATTAATTTAACAAGGTCAGTTCTGTCACAACATGAATCTAACACTTATAGTAAACAGACAATATCAATATTTCTTGAGTTTGGTTATACAAACTACAGGCCCTTGACCTTCAATGAGATAGAGGTTGTTTTGTCATATATTTGTCATGCTATTTAAAAGTTTCCTATAAAATAACAAAACAGCTCTGTTTGTTATAATTTCAAAACACTTTTGACATACCCTTGTACAGTGTATGTTCTATAAGCTGAAACTTTGAAATCGACATTTTAGAGAATTAAGAGAATCTGGTACCGTGACGATACCTTGAAAATTAGTGATGTTATTGAAATGAAATTTGGTATAAGCTAAAATTAATATTGTATGTACATGGTCGATTAGTTTCATATTATTTTAATAATTCAGCAACATTGAGGTAAAATTCACATTAATATTTTTCTAGCAATTATTTAATAAAAGAACGAATGTTTACAGGCCTATTACATGCTTTCCTGCAGATAATAGTAATCGGAGAAACTAAAACTGCACCCACTTTATCTTGAAAACACGTGTACGAGAAGGAGTTCACAGAAACGCCATAATTTACGAGGTGTTCTTGTACGTGTAGTGATTATTAAGTTCCTGTGAGGTGAAAGCTCAATTGAATGATTTTGTCTCATTTTCAATGTTCCATATTTTTTTCCATTTACTTATTGTATATGCATAGATTGTATACTTTCAAAGAATATAATGCATGATAAACGTCATGACTTCAACTTTTCTATCGTCAGTCCCTTATTAATGCAGCAATATACCTTTAGCACCTGCATATGGAGTTTGTGTCTCCCGGTTTATTTAATGAACAAAAGCATTTTCTACGTACTAATATTATCTAAACGAGACAGACTATTGACAAATAAGTTGTTGATCAACAATCTTGTTAAAAGTAAACATTTCGCAAATTCTATTATTGATACAATGACCTCGTTTGCAAATACTATCTGTCGTCAGTCGAATGTTGACTAAAAACATCTTTCATAAAGTTTGTTAGGCCATTATTTTCACACTGAACTGATTGTGGGGATTTTTTTCGTTTACCCGATCATACGACGGGTATGACCGGTCGGCAGGGGATTCTTACCCCTCCTTGGCACCTGATTCCACCTCCGTTTTCAGATTCCGATTTGGCTCTGCTCATACATCATATTGTTTAATTGTAATTGTTGTATTGTTTAAAGTTATACACGTTATAACTTGCGTCAGTTAAGAATAAAGTTGGAAATTTATTTATTATGTTTACCAATTAAAGTTACGAAAATACTGTAAATTACACAATTGAAAACGAACGCGTTATAAAGATGTCAAATTATAATTATTTATTTTCCTACTAGGAAAGTAATGCCTCTTTTTAAATTAATGCATCACGTGACACTGTCGCTATTTTTAGACTGATAAACAAAAATTGGCGTCAAGAAAACGAGGTAGGCCACTTGGTATACAAATAACTTTTGACATGAATGGCAAACGTCTAACACTTAAAGATACTTATCTTTTAAAGCAACTAGTATTAACCATCTACTCTGTTATGACAGATATTAACCTTTCATCTATAATCGTAGTCAAAATTCAATGTACCTCGTCGTCTATGATTTCCCGCAGACATGCGTGACTATATGCTTTTTACGCACTTCCTTTCAATATTTATGAAAAGACTGAATTTTTAATTGTAGATCTTGCTTAATTGTTTTGTAATTACAACGACTTATTTATTAAAACTTTGTGGAAAGTATTATTTTTTCATTACACATCATGTTTCTTAAACCATTTAATCATTTTGTTTCACATAAAAAATCGGCGTTTATATAGCGTGTATTTCTTTAAATGGACTTTTATGAATAACCAATGTTCGATATCTTCACATTTTAACTCAAACCAGTGAAAAAATAATTTGATCCAGGCATAAATAATGGTATCTGCTGCTTTACATGCAAAAGCTGAAATGAAAAACACCACAGAGTCGATCACATCTGTTTCATATTTGGATGTTTTTTGTTTTGTTTTTTTTGTTTTTTTTTTTGTTTTTTTTTTTTGTTTGTTTGTTTGTTTGGTTTTGGTTTTTGGGGCTTTTGGGTTTTTTTTTGTTGACTTTAGACAATAAGAGCCAACTAAAATAAATTGTATGAAAAATGAGATGAATTCTGCTTTTCCATCGTCAATTCATCTCATGGTGTTTACGAATGCCTTATTCGATACGATCAACTCACCAAGGCAAGCTGCTGACAGATAAGTTTATTACAGGGATTTCAACAACAGCGTTTAAAGTCATCATTTCGTAAATTTTGTGATCGTTATAATGACTCTCTTATCAAATATAACCTATCACTCGGTCGTATTTCGGCCGACTTGTCTCATACCAATTGCAAGGCCTTTGTTTTTATAACTTTTTAAACTTCGAATTGCTCCGTTTACCTGATCAATACAGAGAGCTCCGATGAATCCGGTCGACAGGGGATGCTTACTTCTCCTAGGCATTTGATCCCACCTTTGGAATTTTCGGGGGTCCGTGTTTTATGCCCTGTTCACAGATTTTTTTTATTGTTTGTAGATTTCTATTTAGATCGATCACTGTTCGTTATCTTGAACTTTTTCATTCATATTAAGAATACAAGATCCAATTTTGAAATTCATATTTAAATTACTGAAGAAGTTTTTCCTCCCAAGAGTTTATGAATAATAACATTGCATCGCATGCAAAATAGTTGTACTCCTATAATTTATCATTAATGTTAGGATCAAATGGTACAGGTATTTTAACGATTTTATTTCGAAAATAAACTTAAATCTAAAAACAACTATATCAAAACAAATATATAATAAGAATTAGGTTATATATTTGTATGTCTATACAAAGTTATTCTCAATTACTCTTTCCAATATTCCATGATCAAAACATCAAATAATTATAATCATTTAAAAACCAATTTTAATTCCGTACTTTTATTCCTATATCATTTCAGATTTTTTTCTATACTGTCCAGTGCTATTGAAGTAAATTTCTGCCAAAGATATGCCACATTTTGTATCTATACAGAAGAAGTGTAAATGTAAGTTGTTATAAACATCAATAATCAGCAAGAATGTCAAAATTCAACAGGATAATCGTCGTTAGATTGTGAAAATCCATCAAACTGAAGAAATACTTTGTCCTGAAATGTAACAAAATTATGATAAATATACAAATAATTCAAATTAATGAAATACACCATTCAAATTCTAACATTTCAAATTTTCTATACACTAATATACACAAAAAATTTAATGCCGCTAGCAATATAAAACCTATTCCGCAGAAGACTTTTTAAAAATCGTTAAATAAAAAAATTGATATCTAAAAATCTTGAGGAGTTTTACCAGTCTTTGCCATGGCAAGAAACCATATTTCCAAAAAAAATGGCAACTGAATTATCATTATTTTCTTAATAAAATTTATGTCATTTAAGAATCAAAATCGAAAATGGAATAGTACCTGATATTTTGATCCTGATGTTCGTTTATTATTGAGTATCCTGCTTAGGGCCTTTATTAGGACATCGTTTTCCGGAGACTCCATGCTTCGTCGTGAGTCTGTTTTTTCTGTAAATCTTTCTCTTTCAAGCCTATGAATTATAAGAAAAGTGTTTTCTATTCCTTTATATTTGTGAATCATTTTTTACAAACAACGTTAACCTTTTCAAGCACTCTGAGTCAAAACTGCGATGCCAATTATGTCAAGAAATTCCAAATGTTCTGCTCTACATTTGTGACAATACATCGCTCTAAAAGCATTATATATAGTAGGCAGTGATTAATTTTATTATTCTATTATTTAGCGATCACTTTTTACTTACAGATCTTTAAGTTCCAACAATTTTAGTTCCCGACTTTTTTCTGTATTCATGTTAGCACTAACGTCTCTTTTAGCAGCTACTCCCAAACATCGGCGTGCAAATGGATATACTCTGGAAAAAAATGGAAGATTTTTCATAAAATCAGTTGATTATCTGTCGTATGAATGTGAGATGCCTGCAGTAGACATGTACAATGTTTGCACTCACTACATACATAAAACAATCTTACATTCGCCCCGTAATTTCTACTTCACACAATAATGATTGCAGTGCATAGAAGAAAATACTGTAAATGTATCATATTTAGCGTGTACGATATTTGGCGGAAATTGATTTTAGAACAAGTTAGCGTAGATTTGATTTTACGCATTTCTTAATGTTCTTATTTATATATATGTGTGCAAGACATTTAGCGTTGTACTTGAATTAGCGGAAGTTTCTTTCCGCGAATGGCGCTAAAAAGCATACAGCGCCAATGTAATACGTTTACGGTACATGGTATACATTTGTTTTAATTCAATTCAACATTTTGAATTAAAATCTTCATTATAACTATATCCATATTGATAAAAATCCTAGAACACATCTCTACTTTTTATAACTCCTTCTCATATTTTTTTTTATAAATTAGTGTGCTGCTAAATTCATCCCAAGAATATAATTTTTTTCCCCGGAGTCACCATCTTCCCTCGTTTTGCGCAGGAAATTTGAAATACTCAGGGCGAAAATGATTAGATTAAGTCGTATTAGCAGATCAAGAATATGTTATCAATTGAATTCACACTGCATGTCATGGTTACCCATTCACATCTCTTCTAGATTCTCTCAGTGGAATTTTGTTTTACAGCCCTTGATACCAGTTTATCAAAATATAATGTATCGATTAAGATAGTTGAAATGATATTATATATAAACGTCTTCAAATAAAAGATTTTAATTAGGTATAAAGGGACGAATCCTTCCAAATCTACCATTTTGGCATTGAATAGCTATAATTGGAAACGGACAATTACAATAACACCTTGAGAATTATCATTACTGAGATTTAAAAAAAATTGATTCAGTCCTATAGCATAAAATTATAAAAGATGATGACTTGGTAAAACTTGCTTTTCATTTCTTTAATAAATTTAGGTTTTGTTTTAATCTTTTCACAATTTTCTAAAATTGTTTTAGATTAAACTTCTATGATGAATGGTTACCATGTAAATCATGTGATGAGGACCCCTACTTGCTTATTTTATTAATTGTTATCTTATTTACTTAACTCCCAGAATAAGAGACATAGACGGATATTTACAAAACCCAGTTCTATTTTTTGGATTTTGGTTAAGATCTTAGCTTCTCTAGACTAGATGTCATAAAGAATATTATTTTATCTTTATTTCCGAATTTTCGAAATCTATTTTGTTAGAACAATGTTGTGTCTTACTATTACTTACATTTTTTTCAATTTATTTTAATTAGATTGTCACCTAAATCATCAATTAATGAAATTCTAACTTCACTTTCTTACAAATCTATGTTGCTTTCTTCAAACAAAAGGTACTCACTCGCAAAATCGTCGTCTTGGCCGTCGTTGAGCTGCCCCCGTCATGGTGAATAAAACAATCGCTAGAATAATGTTCTCAACTGTTGCCACTTGCATGCTCTGAAACAATTAACGAAAAAATGTAAACTTATACACTCTAGAACGTTTGAAAGGAAAGGCAACAGTCATACAGACAGAGGTTTGTCTCGACGAGACAGTTTAGTGTTAGGGTGATGATACCTTGAGTACAAGTCATAAGCTTATACAACATAACGGAAAATTTATATCAATGTTTTATCCATATTAATTTTATTAAAAATGAAATTTCACAATATCTTGGGATTAAAGAGGATAGCCTGTCACGTCATTGTTATGAAAAATAGAAATTATATCTTTATGAACATGCAGTGAGCGAATTCCTCCACACCTTTTATTTAACAAAGGACAATATTTGTTAATGGTCAATATTTGCCCCAGAAATCAAACTTTGAGGGAGAAATCTATAATTATGTTCTAAACCAGAGGTATATCTGCAGAATTCAAAGCATTAAATATTTTCATCAGCCATGATACCATTTTTTAGATATGACGTCAGGAAAGTGACGTAAATTTAAAATTTCCATGATTTATAGAGAAAAAGGTATATATCACGTATCACGTATATCAGTAAAAATTGAATAAGTATTATTCATTTTGTTCTCTTTCTGAAAAATAACGCAGATCGAGTTCAAATAGTTTGGGACGTCACAGAAACAAAAACTTGTCAATAACCTACTTCGAAACTAAAATATTTTTTGTTAATTCAAGTTTTTGTACAATATATAAAATACAACATATTTCACAATTTTTTTTTTAATTTAACTTTTATGGGGACAAAAGTATGCATATACAGCGTATAGCTTTGTTTTCCAAAGCAAAAATTGTGAGAAGTACAAAGAGCAAATTTAATTTCAATGCCAGATTGAAAGCAATTTTGCCTCGCCACGTGTAATTAAAATATCTAGTCATCCCATGCGATTTAAAATTTTCTATTAATATCCTTACACTAAAACGAAGAATTATTTTTGGATAATATTTATGAATTAACCTTTAGAATTGAGAAATATGTGGTATGTCTACTTATATATTAGATGGTAGGAAATATGAAGAAAACGAACAGTATTCAATCTCGAAAGTCCAATGAAACAATACAAATTTGAAGCAGAGCAAACACAGGCCTCAAAATTCAGAGGTGGGATCAGGTGCCATCGAGGAGTGAGCATCCCCTGCCAACCGGTCACACCCTCCGTGTGCTCCTTGTCATGATCGGGGAAAAAAAAAGAAAAATCCGTTGACAGTTATATGATATTTGTGATATTTGGTATATGACATTTGTGTACGTTCTCATGGATTTCTGTATATATCTCGAGCAATGGAGAAAAAGTATCATCACGTAAATGTTCATAGTGTTCATAGTCTGCTGTCGGAATGTTTAACAAAAGGCCGCATTCTGATTGATATCGTCAAAATGTTGGATAGTACACTCAAGCAGGCGCTTTTTTTGTATTAATACTAATCTGTATTAAAAATGAGAACGACTGAAATATAATAATTTTTTAGTTGATATATTTATCTTGAACCTTATCGCTATGAAAAATTGTGAGATAGATCAAACAAAATTATCAAAATAATTTATATACGTAGACAGGTAAACATAAAAAATAGGCAGATCTTCTATGTCAGCAAAACAAAACAAACAAACAAAAGAAGAAAAGAAAAGAAAACAAACATCAAAACACGAGGAACCATCAGAATTAGTGTTTCAATGCATTTCCTCAGAATCCTAGTAACACTGAATGCAAACATTCATAATTCATAAATGAAATGGGAAATGAAAGAGTGAGTTATACATGTATGTGTGTAGGTGTTTAAATGAAATCAGTTAATACACATACTAGGTGTGCAGTGTATACATATCTCTCGGACGAACGATAAATATTTTTAAGTCTTTTTATTATAGGATTAAACGTTCTTTTTGAAAATTTTATCAATGTGTAAACTCTTGACATTTTACTCACAAACTAAATAAAAGTGCGAAGCACTTTTATGTTAAGTTTGTGAGTAAAATGTCAAAGGTTTACACATCGATAAAATTTTCAAAAAGAATGTTTAATTCTTATAATTCCAATTCCGAAGTTTTAAAATTATTTCTCTTTGAAGCCTCCATACAATCCGTTATTTCTGTATACAGCGTAGGAATACTTTATGTCGCGATGTGGAAATGAAACGTATAATCAAGATGAACATCGATAAAGTTTAACTTAAATTGTCAAAACATTCAATAAAACAAACTTATAAAAACTCTTCGAATATTGTTTAAGACAACGAATATTATAAATACAAGTAGACTTCAGAAGAATTCATCCTTGACCATGTTGACATTAACAACAGACGCTCTAAAATGAAAGTAGCATACCGACGACACCCTTGATTTGCTATGGTTTGTGTAAAGAGGGACAGAATATAGGATGTATAAAAATGAATTTGATGCTAAATAAGGCAAGAGTCTGAGGTACGTTTCTCTTTCCTATCAGCTACCGACAACTGAGCTGATTTGCTTAGCATTATGAACGACGATAATATCCTATGAGATTTAAATAAAAATTCATACTCATGATCTGACAGTGACATAAACATAACATTCCCGTCTGTCAGTCCTGTATGTCGTCAGTATTGCTTTTATTTAATTTAAAGTTTCTGTAATCGTTTAGCTAAAACAGACTAGAGGTAACGATTTTTTTTTTTTTTTTTTTTTTTTTTTTTTTTTTTTTTTTTTTTTTTTTTTTTTACAATAAAAGCTACATGTAGGCCAAGAATGTAGTTCTGGTCGAAAGATTTATCGATGTGTAAACTTTTTCTTGAATTTGTTTTCGTCCAGTCAAAACACAGGAAATCAATATTAAGATTGGAATTATTCCATATTAACGCTCCGATGTATACATATCTCTGATTTTCATGTGCTGCAGCATTAAAACAGCAACAAAATATTGATAGTCATTAATATTGATAATTCATTGAAATGAAATTTCATCTACACTTGATCAATATGTTTTCACTAAAATAATCTTAAAAAATCATTAAATTTTAATTGATTATTGATTCATCTGGTCTGAACCATTGCTAATTTTTAAATTATATATGATTCAATTTGGATCGTGTTTATTCTTCATTAGTGTGTTGGCATTATATCTATCTTCATTAACAGCTTTGTGTTGTCATAGCTTTGCATATTGCAATTTTCTTGTACTCTAAATCTCATCCTCACAGAACATTAACACTATGAGCCCTCAGGTCAATAGCAACTCCAAGAAACCTCTTCAGTGATAGCCGACGATATTTTCTACTGTCTCTTTCAATTGCCTTGTCTTTTGTTGAAATTAAAACTCAATCCCTTCCTGTAACAAGTTCTGGTAAAAAAAAAGTTCATTCAGTTCTATTGTATAATATACGAGTTAGAAAAAAAATCTTTTTTAGTTTAAAAGTAAGCAAAGCAGTTTATATGACTTCGTGTACTGTCTGTTAAGTGATTAAATAACGCGATACAATCTGATAAACACATTATCTAGACCTTTTTTTTTCCATTAACAATAAAGTGTTGATTTAGCATGAATTGTACATAGACTTTTATATATTTAATAATAGCCCCAATAAAATCGATGGTTTATATTACCATGACAGTATAATTCTAGATACTGAGGTTAATACCTCAACTATTTTCTTCTGCATCAAACACGGTATTATTAACAGATTGTGCTGTTGAATATGATTGTTTGATAGAGATAAGCTCATCTACTGACAATCATCGTTCTTGTTAGCATCATGCTTTATGTTTGATTGAAAACCTCTTCTCTCCAATCCTACCCTTTTCCCTGAAATTTCATTTGAAAGAATTCACATACACTGTACCATTTTCATTTAATGATGCAGTATACGATTCCAACAAAGTAGAATGGAGGGGGAAGTGGGGGTGGGGACTCCAAAATATTTGACAAGCAAAACAAACAAATAAAAACAAAAAAAATAAACTGCCTTTAGGGTGTCTTTAACTTTTCGACATTTTTTATGCAAGTATTTGCCAGTTTTCGACCATACTGCAACAAAAAAATCGGGGCCTTATGCTACGTGACTGACAAATTATAACAAGCATTCTGAGAGTATTGCATTAGCAATACTAGTCCCCTACCGGCAAGTGTAATCTGGTTCCCGTTAAGAATTGAAAATGCCATAATTCCGTCAAAAATCAATGAAGCAAAACGAAATGCAAACTTGATCTATAACTAATCAAAGTTAAGTCACATACCAAAAATCAGCTCAATATCTGAAAGCGTTAAGAAGAAAATTGCGGAAAACCCCTAAAAATTGAAAAGGCCGTAATTCCGTCAAAAATAAATGAAGCGGAACGAAATGCAAACTTGATCTGTAACTCATCAAGATACACCCACATACCAAAAATTCAGCTCAATATCTGCAAGCCTTTAGGAAAAAAGTGCGGAAAACCAAGTGGGACAGACTGACAGACAGACAGACCGACAGACAGACCGACGGACAGACTCAGAGGAAACCTATAGTCCCCTCCGGTTTCACCGGTAGGGGACTAACAAGGAAGACTAAGAAAATGTTGATTGACATATTTTTTCTCTCTGAATTTTGGAAAAATCTTTCCCGGCCCTTATAACTAAGGACCAGCAGCATTTTTTTTTTCAAATCATTATTGATAAATGGATTAATTCTGCTAACAAAACATACTCAAAAAATATAAAGGCTATTTCCACATTATATTTCACATTTTCTTCGGTTTAAAATATTTTTTTTTTAAATATTTATTGCAAAATGAATATAAATTGCACTGATTATTCCTCCACATTTCTCACATTAAAATAGAAAAAATCTTCTTTAGCATTTAATATTATCTTCGCAATGAACAACAACTACTCTCAAGAGGGACATTTGTAGCATTACGCACCCAAAAACCTGATTACAAGTACAAGAATAAAATAATTAGCTCCACAGTGTATTTGTAATGAAATTTGTTTTGAGATGTCCTGCAGTCAATGGTGTTTATGAATCGACTTCATTCATTG